CTAGAGAGAAAAATGTAAGAAAAGACCACCACCTACTGCATTTATGTCATCAAAATCACTTATTAGTCAACCAGTAGTCTACGAGGTGAATGGCTGCCCCACCTAAATACCTGTGTTCCAGAGCTATAGACAACCAGTGATTTCTTTATAACGGATGCAAGGCCATGAGACCTTTAAAGAGACCACAGCTGACTGATCATAACATAGAAAGGTGCCTTCAATGGGCAGGAAAGCACCAAAACATTGGACCTAATCTTTGGTGTCATATGACAGCATGTGAAGAAATAAGATGTGTCCTCCACAAAGTTGATAATTGTGTTCGTTTCTGTCGTAGACCAGGGGAAAGAGACAATCAGGACACTTACTGATGTGGCAGTCCATGAAGGCGACCCTATTTATGTTTGGAGCAGTATTACAGAGGTTGTTTGGAGCAGTACTACAGAAGTTGCACCCCCTTGGTGATTCCCAAATATAATTTCAGAGTAATTTGACCTTTTGGACCTCCATCAAGTACCACATGCAAACAGAGTGTTTTGGGGCAATATTCAACTGCAGAGTGATCATGCTGATGCATATGCTTGTGGCATCGTGTTGGATTACATCAGGGCAGGCAATGTGGACCAGCTACTATGGGCACAAAAGTCAGCCAATCAGGCTAATGCAGAGCAAATGTTGGATGACCTTGGTAATGAGATTCGTGACTTTGACATCTGCCTCAAAATTTAGACACGTTACGCACTGCTCAGACTGAGAAATGGGGCCTTATTTCACTTAGAAAGGTCAGATGTTTCATTCTATACAAAGAGGACATAACGCATATTAATGCTATCATTGGATAGAGGACACTTCAGTCTTCATGACCAGATGTTTATTTTGTTTGATCTGTTTTACATGACGATTTGGATGGGGGAGTTTTGAAAATGCAAAAATTCTTAGCGTACCCCTGTTTAAATAACAGTAATTTTCTAAACTTAAATGTGAATATTTTTTCCCTAAAAAATTTTGATTTGTAGATGAAATATGTGGTTATGATTTGCCTAGAAAATAAATGTCTGAACCAACTCCAAATAAATGTTCTCTTACTCCAAACTTTGAATTCTGAGCTGCCAAATCTAATATTCCATATTTATGAGCAACAGTGTAGTTTAAAAGAAATGTACATATAATGAAGAAATAAATATATAATGAAAAAAATAGGATATGTGTTTGTAATATTGGTATAACTTGAGATTAAAAAGTGTCACCATCTCTTTCATTTTTCAACAAATATAGGCTCACGTGACATGTGACGCGGGGCAGGCAATTTTGATCTATCGTAGACCATATCAGTATCAAATTGCCGATTTTTCAACCTCGTCTTGCGGGGCCATTTCGATTTGAAACATCTTGAATTTGGTGTCAAAATAAAGCTGGTCACGCCCACTTTCATAGTTATCAATGAATCATTTACTACGACTACTATATTCATTTAGGAGGCGTGTAAAGTTAACCAATCAGAAAGACTGTTGTTCCATATATGGCAGTTCATTAACATATTCAGTGTTTACTAAGTGCTTTTCACGTCATGACAACACGAGTAGTAACCAATCAAGATGCCGTATTTTATCACGCGAGTTCAGCATGACATGCACACGACATGTAGTCAGAGCTGATCGCGATGTTGAACAATTTCTTCTCGGAATTTGTCCAGATAAATCAGCGATTCTAAATTAAGGTAGGATCTGCAATTTCTTCCTGTACAAGTTATAAGTTATCTCTATCAAATCCTAAAGTTTTGGATGAAGATACGAAGGATATATTTAAAAACGAAGCGATTAATTTGACGATCTGATTTTGCAATTTGCAATGACCAATTTACTGCAAGTCTGCGCAAAGTCTTGTATCTAAATGCTTGTTAAGCCACTCAAAAACAAGATCCATATTTTCTAAATTTGATAACTTTGCAGAAAACCTGTTTTCATAACCTGTTTTGTGCGTCTAAATTCGAGTAGGATAAAGCTGGGAATTTTATTCCAAGGATAAAGGATCGCTGGGATCCTCAGTCAATGGCAACGGGTCTTCATTCCAGAACTCACGATTTTTGTTGATTCTCTGTCATAGTACTTGTCTAAAGTCCCCATATCTGCTCTCTTACTGGCATACTTGGACAGATTTCCCCTCCTTAAATTGTCCTCAGTCAAATAACACCCTCTCGCCGATTTACATAGCCATTTCCCAGAACCCGGGAATCAGAATCGCTGATGTTTGCCATATTGAATATGTACTGTAATATCTGTAATACTCTACATTGCCTGCTACGCGTAATGGTCACGTGACTAGCGCGATACAGGAAAAATGGGGAATCTCGAAACAACAATATTTGGGCACTTTTATTGCAAATTTCAGGTATTTATAAGTGTTTGTGGTATAAAATATCATCCACAGACATAAATGAACATCCAAACTACATATTTTATTAAGTTTTGAAGCCTTTTTTTTGCTCTTAAATTAACATCTTTAAAGTTCGAGGCTACAAATCCAAATCAATATTTTTGTTTGAAAGTCAGGATATACATTCCTCTGAAGGTTCCACACTGTGTGAGCACAGGACCATGGGTCCTTTATTGTGGGGTATATTTTGGTACCCCAGTATTTGGTTTAAGCAGGGTACTCACATATTAGCGTATTGATATTTATTACTATATCATGTCATGCGGTGACATATAGTTAATAGTCTCCAACTTGTGGGCAGTGTTCGCCCATCGGCATCTGTAACAACTTCTTAATATTTTCAATAACTTTACAAGTACTGTTTAGACTGACTTCAAATTTTTACTGTGAGCATATGTTACAGTGTTATATGAGTTCCAATACATTTCTGCCAATATCTGTCACCATGGCAACAAATAAGTCAATTTCTTACATTTTGTTTCAAGAAGTAGTTTTCACATGGATTTGAAATTATTGTTGTCTAACAGAACACATATAGAAATTTTACAACTTTTAACATATTTTTATCGCACTTTCAAATAGTCCTATATTGTCGTTGTCTTTTTCTGATGGGCATGTGAGCAGGCACCATTTGAATCAATTCTTGTCAACAAAATTCCAGGAAAACTGCTAACCTGTTCAGCTTGAAATAATAACAGATGCAAGAGCAGACTAGTGCCAAGATCTTATTAGGTTAAGGGCATGCTGGGTAAATTACTTGTTGGCCATTTTGAATTTTTCAATGAATCTTGTCATCAAAATTCCAGAAAAACAACTTATCCGTTCAACTAAAAAGATTCTACAGATGCAAAAGCAGGCTAGTGCTAAGATCAGATTAGTTTTGCTCTTTAAAGTGCGATATTTATTAGTGTTGTAACTCGCAGGGATTTTCAGAATCAAGTAATTCAAGTGATTTTGAGTCTGAGATTGAATACCACCAAAAAGTGGTGACATATTGTTATGGTCTTCATTTTTTGTTAAGGCGGATGGTGATTGGCGATTGGCATCTCAAACAAATTCTTATTACTTCCAATAACTTAACAAATACTTTTTAGACTAAAAAATCATCTTCCAGTTTTCTGAAGTTCAACTCAGACTTAAGATTTAATATTCAATCTTTTTTCAACTTGCTTCAAATTGACCAATTTTTTTTCAAAATCATCTACAAGTTCTCAAAAGTTCAAATCTGACTATAGATACGAGATGACCTTCTCAAGGTCAAAAATGATTCATAATATTGTGAGCAACCAGGTGGTGACATTTTGTCATGTTAATGCTTTGTTAATCCTGTTTTCAATGCTCACCCTACAATGGCCTAGGTATTGTAAATCACGAGTTGTCTGTATCTACCAATTCAAAGCAGAAACTTACAGTTAATTGCGACAAAAATTTAAATATTCTGAAAAACCTTTATTTTCTCTTTCCATAATGTATCCCGCCATAGGCTGTTTCAGGACCAAAATTGATAAGTGCATTGTATCAAAAGCGGAGTTCAAGTCACATATCCCATCCTCTGTCGATGGAAATCCAAATGATTTCCCTTATATTGAAAGTATATTTGCCTGTCAGCATCGATAATTTTCATTTTCACTGACATGGCAGTTTTTCATTTCTGGCATTTCTAAATAAGGAAATCAAAAAATAAACTCTATAATATTTCATTTAAATTAGATTTAGTACTCATATTCATTCAAATAAAAAACAAATAATACATGGAAAAATCATTTGTACAAAGTGTGACACTATATCGGAGACAAATTCTATAACACCTTAGCGAGACGATGCGATGACTACATGAGTATATCTGCACCACTAATATTTATCACTGTGTGTCTTGGCAGTTTCAGTTACCATGGCAATGAATATATATTTCCATGGAAACAAATTATTTGTCTTGAAGCACTTTTCACTTTTTTCAATGGCAACCAGGTGGTGACATTTTGTCAAGTTAATGCCTTATCTCTATGTCTGTTAGCAAGTTAATTATCCCATCAATAACTCAAATACCGTTGGCCCAATATACATTTAGTTTATATTTTATATGTATATGTCTCATGTGAGTACAAGTTCTGCTCATTTCAGATTTCTTATATTTTAGGTACAACTTATAAAAGTGTAAAATAAATCTGTTTTAAAAGCAAAAAATATATAGGATATTGATTAAGTTAAAAATCTAATTATTTATAAAAAAAACATGACGACTGTCTTGAAGAACAGTGGCTGTTATTTTGTTCATATTTGATATGTGAATAAATCAGCATGAATGGTGGTGCACTGTCTTATGACACTTTGGCTAGAAGGTGGCTATTTTTTTTAATGTGTGTTATTTTATGATTTATGATATGTAGTGGGTGCAGCTTACAGGAAACTGAATGTGAAAGTAGAAAATGATTATTCCAACGAAGATAACAGTACAGTAATATAGTTTAATTAACTTAAAAAAAGTAAAATTACATGAAATTTGGGCAATTCAAGCTTTGATCCAAGGAAGGTATTTTTAAAGTGTTAATTTAATATTTCTTTCTTTTCAGTCATCATTCAAAAACCCATTCCCACAGTCTAGAAAGCAGATAGAAGTGACTCTTGGTGTGAAGCCAGACAGAAAGACCATAGCAATGTTGCTAGGCCCTGGTGAGAGGAGAGACCTACATGTGGGCTTCACACCTACCAACAGCAGAACAGTCACTTCACTTATACTCATCAGGTAACTACAGTCACAAGTACTTTTGTATTGTATGATATCCCCCGGTGATATTCTCTGACTTTTAGTAATACAGTAAAACCTGTGTATAGTGAACATTTTTTTGCCGAAGAAAAATGTTCACTATTGGTAGGTGTTCACTACAGCAAGGATTTGATTTTGCGGCATTTTGCCATATTATATTTAAGAGACCAGTTATTAAACGAGCCTAAATAATAGAGGAGGGAATAACTGATTTAATTTGTATTTTATACCTATGATAACCCATGACACTTGCAACAAATTTTTTTTTTTTTTTTGTTGTGTTGTACAAACTTACTTATTTTAGACTGCCTGAATGGTTCATCCTTTTATTGTCAAATTTTAATCTCTTCATAATTCTTTAAATAGTGGAATTCTTAACACATTTGAGTCAATTAAAGGACTTGATTGAATTAATTAAACTACAAGATGGAGTCAGTTAAGAATGATCTTATAATTTTAACCTTATCTGGTTTTTAAAATGATGGAGATAAGAAAAAGATTTAGTTGGGACTTAGAGATAGAGATAGAGGTAATAATATAGTTCACCAGATTATCTCCAATTAAAGCAATCAATGCTTCTAGACACTGCTAAACACATATCCTGCCTTACAAAAACAAAGCTTACTAAGAATTATGATTAGTCACACCTGTTTCAATACAAGAGATCAAAATCTCATCATTCTTGCAGAAAATCCGCAAGAAATCTTATGTATCAGATTCAATGTTCACTAGAGACAGGATAATTCAATTAAATTTGCCAAGATTTAATGTTCACTGTTCACAGTAGGTAGGTGTTCAGTATAGGATTGTACTTTAACATGGGAGTCAATGGGGGAAAAAGGTTTTGCCGAAAAAAAATGTTTACTGTTGAAAGCTGTTCACTAGAGAGATGTGTTCACTAATACAGGTTTTACTGTAGCACTTTACTTTTATTATCACACTTTTTCAAAGTGCAATATTGTTGTCATTTTGCACTGATAAATATGTGTGGCAATAAAACATGGCATACATTTTGAATTTTCGCAGTAATCCTATCTCAAAGTTCCAGGAGAACTGTTTATCCTTTCAACTTGAAAATCCAAGAGCAGACTACTCACTGCTACTGATAATGTACTAAAGCATGAATGTGGTGGTTCCATCGTTTGTTTTTCTTAAATCTAAATTATCAATATCTTGCTTTGTATCAAATATGACAAGTTAGAATTCTTTAATGCGTTGGAGTTTTCAGAAGTTCACAGATATTTCATAGACAAATTAAATCTCTTTAAATACACAATAGGGTGTTTTCCATTAAAAAGGACTCCTTTTCATGATAATTTCTCGTTGGTACACAGGCAAATTACAATGGACCCCGTACATGCCCGTACAGAGCTCGTTGTGTCAACGGACCCTGTACAACCTTGTACGGGCCTGCTTACGAGTCTCATAATTGCTTGTAATTTTCGAGCCTCGTAAGAGCTTGTGATTACAAGGCCTGTAATAGCTCGTAATTCTCGACCCCTGTACTTTACCGTACGGTGCCCGTTATGAGCACCGTAATTAATTGTAATTTTCGATCCCTGTGTATCCCGGTGCCTGTTACGAGGCCCGTAATAGCTCATAATTTTCGAGCCGTGTACTTGCCTGTGCAATGCCCGTAACAAGGCCCGTTATGCACTGAAGCACTGTACTTGCCCGTACGGGGCTCGTAACGAGGCTTGTAATTGCTCGTTTATTTTGATGTTGATCGATGAAATAAAATACAGCATATATGAGAAATGACAATTTAATTATATCCAATTATGAATTAATATGTCTTCAATAATTTCAAAATATTCGCATGTCTGTATCAACATGATAAACAGTATAATAGCTAGGAAACAAAATAAACAGGAGGGTTACCAATAAGAGACACCATATTTCTTTACAAGTGAAGTAAATGCATATAAAACCATTTGCGTGCTTTACTAGGATGAGTTGAAATGTGATGTAAATAAATGTTATTGCTATCGAATGTGTGAATAAAAACATCATTCTAATATATAATGAATAAACATGGTTTGGCCAAATACGAAATTCGTGCATGTAGCATGATAGCAATTAATTCGGAGTTCGATAACGGGCCTCGTACAAGCTCGTACGGGCCTCGAAATTGCGAGCCTCGTATATGCTTGGACGGGCCTCGGAAACAACAATTACGAGCATCGTACGAGCTCGCACGGGCCTCGAAAACGAGCTCCATACGAGCCCGTACGAGGATGGTGCTCCTTTTTGCCCGTAATGACCAGTAATTCTTGAGGCTCGTACGAGCTCGTACGGGGCCCGATGTAATTTGCCTGTGTACTTCCAATTAAAATATTATATTACCTTACATCAATGTAGGATGTAAATGACATACAAGTGACATCTCATGTGTACCAATTTACCAATGCTGTATCTGATCGATTATTGTTGTAACATTGGTAGATGTGTGCTTACAATATTATATGAAATGTGAAATCCATTTGATTATGGGAATAAAAGTGACGTAATAAAGTGATTTTGTGATGCACTTGTAGCGTGTTTAAAGATCCCTTATGTTTATAACGTATAAAGTGTGTGTATTATCTCATCACTTGTGGCGCAGCTCTATCCATTTATATGGACCATCACTTATAAAATGTTATAAGTAAATAAATACTTATCTCATTAAGACATGTACTGTAGTTATTGGTAGGGAATCATGGTGATACTTGGCATGTATTCATTTTACTATCTTATCTACCTTATAAACAAGGAATTTGGAGGAGAAAATAATTCATTCTTGGTGAAAAGAAATTAGCTTAATTATCGATGAAATAAACATTGCTATACATATTTACATATTTTTGCGAAATGTCAAATTTCAATTCACTTATGAACATACATGCATAACATTTATCTGTAAGCAGCCTTAGAAATTAATGGAGGGTGGGTATGAAATAACTATAGCCAAGTAATTATCCAATCGCACAAAGTCTGGTAGGGATATAGAGAAGCCATCTGTCCATTCGTCTGGCTGCCATTTTACTGTTCATTTCACACTATTTTAATTATACTAAACTGTATTGTTAATATGTTTCAAATGTAAAAACATAAATAGGATAGGCTCAAAATTTTTTTTTTTTAAACATGCTCGCCATATTGAAAATGTGAATACTGAGAAGCATTGCTCACTGTCTTATGACACTTTGGTTAGTAGGCTGCGATTTAGAACAATTGACATACAAGTGATATATCAGCCATTTTTATGTGTGTTATAACACATTTGGTGGATTTACACTAGCGGGCTAAGACGTCTTAGCTAAAACGTTTTAGCGTTAAAACGTCTTACAAATGTAATGTAAATCCAGATTTACCCAAGAGCTCTCGGCTAAGAGCGCTTAGCTAAAACGTTTTAGAACCTTAGTCATAGCCAAGATGTCCTAGCGTTAAAATGTTTTACAAGCAAGTGTAAATCCATTGGTTTTAGCTAAGAGCTCTTAGCCCGGTTTTTTGCGTTGCGCCGAACGAAACATTTGAAACTTTCCATTTACATATGTCGCATGGTCCTTTTTTTGTCCTATCCCTTGTTCCCCATATCATCCCAAAATTATTGAGAAGAACTTATTTGCCCGGCGATTTATCATAATCCTAATTTATGCATAAAATCTTCCTGCTCTCTTTCATGCTTTTAACAATGCTGGCTTTAGGACATATTTATCTGAAACCGATACATTCTTTATTACAAAGTCGGGTACAAAGTATAGAAGCGGGAAAGGAATTGCTATATTGAATGAACTGTCCTTCAACCAGTACTTAACTGCTTTTTTCATTTTACATGTATACCTACATATCTCTAAGACGTTTTAGGAAAACAGGTGTAAACTCTTATTTCCTAAGACGTCTTGAAAATGGTAATGTAAACTCAACTTAGTTTTTCTAAAACGTTTTAGCCAAAACGTCTTGAAATGCTGCGCGTAGTGTAAATTGGGCTATTGTTTGCTAACTGGAAAAGTAATAGAGCGATTTTGAAATTATATAATGCTGTATTTGAATACTTGGAATCATATAACTATGTCTATTGACAGTATGGCTATTACGCAGCCATTGCCAAAAATGGAAATGTGTTATTTTATGTTTTTACAATTACTGGAAAGGCACTTGAACGATTTTGTTAATCTTTATTTGTTTAATATCTTTTGGCAATACATCTATGGTTGGCATTTTGAGATATGAAATCTAGCATGTTGTCTGACACAGATTAGGTGTTCAATGGGATTTGCTACCCCTTGGTGTTGCTGTTATTCTCCTGAATATGATTGTATTGTGTGTTTTCATAGTTTGGAGTTAGTCTTATTATTTTTTTGTAGTGGATTATCTTTTTGTAGTGGATAAACCTCGTAATATGTCATGCCTTGATACTGTTGTCAATAAAAGAAAAAATTACATGTATTGTAATTTCTTCTTTTACTTGTATGTACTATTCTGATTATGATATATTACTTTATGATATTGCAGGAATAACCTTACCGTAATAGACACTGTGGTGGTACAAGGGAGAGGAGGCCAAGGGGAGCTTAAGATAAGCAGTAAACCTCCTGGTGTGACACTCAAGTTTGACATGAAAGTTGAACATTTGAAGAATTGCGAGCGTAAGTTTGATGATCTCCTTCCAATTGTAAACAATTGAAGTGTCAAAAGATTTCATCTTAGGAAATACTTAAAATGTATTTATTAGCTTTTGTCTCTTCTTTTTTTTGCTTTTGTCAGTATTCTTATGAGAATACTATTGCTTTTGTCAGTATTCTGATGAGAATACTATTGCTTTTGTCAATATTCTTATGAGAATACTATTGCTTTTGTCAGTATTCTGATGAGAATACTATTGCTTTTTATGTCCCCACCACATAGTGTGGGGCCATATTGTCGGCCTAGGCGCGTCCGTCTGTCTGTCCGTCCGTCTGTCTGTCCGTCTGTCTGTCCGTCCGTACGTCCGGGAGTTTTCTCCAAAACTCGATACCTACTTCCTGTCGGCCATTTTGAAGTCAAATGCTAAAATCCTTGTCTGCAAACTTTAAGAAAAACGGCTTCACAGTTGCTTTTAAAACTTTAACATCTTGTTCAGCTCACTTCATTCTAGATCTGATTAGGTTTTGGACCTGTTAGCTCAGTCATGTCAGCCATTTTGAATGTTTTAAGAAAAGTTAGCGCACGATAATACTTTGTATCATATTGAATGGTGTTTTTCAGTTTTCATGCTTTAACTTTTTAGTAGCTTTATAAATAATTTCAGGTGTACTTTGTTGTAAAAGCTTATGTTATTGTTAACAGTAGGTATATGTGATAATTTTGTAAAAAGATTTCAGCAAAAACTCATAATCACTTTTTTATTGTCAGCCATTTTGGATTTTTCCGTCCTAAAATCTTGTCTGTAAAGTCTTGTCTACGCGTTTTCAGGTGAACCGTTTGGTAGATCAATTTCAAATTTTCAGGGATGATTCTTAGTATGAGAATCTAGATCTGATTAGTTTTTGGGCATTCTGGGTAAATGTCAAGGCAGCCATTTTGGATTTTCCGTCCTAAAATCGTGTCTGTAAAGTCTTGTCTACGCATTTTCAGGTGAACCGTTTGGTAGATCAATTTCAAATTTTCAGGGATGATTCTCAGTATGAAAATCTAGATCTGATAATTTTAACGGCATTCTGGATAAATGTCAAGGCAGCCATTTTGGATTTTCCGTCTTAAAATCTTGCCCGTAAAGTCTTGTCTACTCGTTTTTAGGTGAACCGTTTGGTAGATCAATTTCAAATTTTCAGGGATGATTCTTAGTATGAAAATCTAGAACTGATTAGTTTTTGGGCATTCTGGGTAAATGTCAAGGCAGCCATTTTGGATTTTCTGTCCTAAAATCTTGTCTGTAAAGTCTTGTCTACACATTTCCAGGTGAACTGTTTGGTACATCAATTTTAAATTTTCAGGGATGATTCTTAGTATGAAAATCTAGAACAGATTAGTTTTTGGCATTCTGGATAAATGTCAAGGCAGCCATTTTGGATTTTCTGTCCTCAAATCTTGTCTGTAACGTCTTGTTTACATGTTTTCTGGTTAACTGTGTGAGGGATCAATTTCAAATTTTCAGGGGTGGTTCTTAGTATGAAAATCTAGAACTGACTAATTTTTTGTCATTCTTGGTAAATATTAAGATGGCCATTTTGGATTCTCCGTCCTCAAATTGTGTCGGTAAAGTCTTGTCTACTCATTTTTAGGATAATCATTTGACAGGATTACCCATAGGTGGGGACATATTGTACACATTTGTGTTCTTGTGTCAATATTCTGATGAGAATACTATTGCTTTTGTCAATATTCTTATGAGAATACTATTGCTTTTGTTAGTATTCTTATGAGAATACTATTGCTTTTGTCAATATTCTTATGAGAATACTATTGCTTTTGTCAATATTCTTATGAGAATACTATTGCTTTTGTTAGTATTCTTATGAGAATACTATTGCTTTTGTCAGTATTCTTATGAGAATACTATTGCTTTTGCGAGTATTCTTATTCTTTTTCTTCTTCCACCCAAGTTTTCTCGCTAACTAGAAGAGCTTACTTCAAACAGCTTACATGGTTAACTATTTATCGGCAATGATGAGAAATTAGGTCAAATTTTTTATCTAGGTCAAAGGTCAAGAACTAGATCAAATCTTAAAATTTCAACATTCTGTCATTTATCTTCTTCGTTGTTTATTGTATTGCCTTAATCTTTTTTTCATCACGTAGCTTAGAAAATTACCTCCAGGAAAAGCACTCATAGAGATGATAAAATAATCATCTAGCTTTTTAGCCTTTTGCCGTCACAAAGTATTTTGACCCCCTTTTGAGATTTGGTGTCCGAAAAGAAGGTCAAAATAAAAAGTTCTCCAAATTTAATGTGTTAGTTATGCCATAAGGGTAAGGAATCCAAATCCGCAAACCAAATTTTGATCTGGCTTCCGATTCAGAAGTTGTGATGTTTTGAAATCCCGAAAAGTCAATATGATCGATGATATCCCCATGTTAAGTCAATGGCAGGAACTTGATCAGCATCTAAGTTACTTATTCAGCTTCTTACTCAGCCACATACTTAGTTACTTACTCAGCTACATACTGGGCTACCTAATCAGCTTATTACTGAGCTACTTACTCAGCTATCTAGGTCAAATCAATCTGGATTCTTGAAAAGAACTTTTTTCAATTTACCATTCTAGTTCTTCCTACTCTTCTTCCAAGCAAGTTTTCTCGCCAACTAGAAGAGCCTTCTCTATACAGCTGACATGGTTAGTTAATAAATGTGTCTGCGATGATGGAAATTAAGTAAAATTTGTATCTAGGTCAGAGGTCAAAAACTAGGTAAAATCTTTAGTTTTTTACTATTTTACCACTTTTCTCAGTCATCTTTTTTTGTATTTTTTCTCAGTCTTTTTTTCATCATGTCCCTTGAAAGCATTCCAATAGGCACCTTCAATGACCTCCTCATGGTAAATAAGGTCAAAAGGTCTTTTTTCAACTTGCTTCAAATCGACCAATTTTTTTCAAAATCACCTATATGTTCTCAGCAGTTCAAATCTGACTTTCGATTTGAGACTTCACCTTCAATGACCTTCTCAAGGTCAAAAAGGGTGTTTTTTCAACTTGCTTCAAAATTGGCCATTTTTCAAAATCATCTACAAGTTCTCAGAAATTCAAATCTGACTTAAGATTGAACTCATTTTATTGTGACCGACTAGATGGGGACATTTTGTCATGTTAATGCCAAAATCGATAGCCAGGAGAATGCTTATAGTATTAGCCTGTTGATGTCAGGAAGTCAGGAAGTTATTTGACCCACTTTTTAGATAGAATAGGTGTCTGAAAAGTAGGTCAAAATAGAATGTTCTCCAAAGGGGACATGCCATTAAGAGGCCATTCTCTGACTTAGTCATTTTTTCAAAAGTGTGGAAATAAAAAAATTCATGAAAAGTTCTAAAAATATTCTGAATAACAAGTTGAATATATATATTTAATGATGGCACAAGCAAAAGTCTGAAAATTAACATGAAATGAAGGGTTTTGACAGATGCAAAAGATGGTAGATTTGTGATGAAGAAATAGAGGTTTTTGCAGTAACAACACAATTACCTCGAAGTTATCCGTTATGAGAGGCTGAGGACTAAACTTGACATAATTTTCAATCTCAGATTATCAGTAGTATCTAACTTAAGCCGGACAGCCACTCAAAATGTATATGGAGCCCATAAGATTCATTTTTCTCAATTGAAGTCACTATTTCTGTTTTTAGCTTCAGAGGATAGGAGGTACATGAACATGCTAAGTTTACCTAGATCACAAGCCTTACCACAAATATAAAGTATATATGAATAGAGTTGATATGTGTGAAAACCTTAAACTTCCCATTTTATTGGGGATGGAACTTGTGGACCATGTGTATTTCTAACTTCTTCAAATATGCATGGATCTAAAATTGTGGCAGCCATCTTGGATTTGTCATATTATGTGGACGTGGTTTTGGTTGTGCTGAATTTGTTTCAAAATAACATTTCTTGTATACCTTCGATAAGTGAGATAGGCATTTGAAATTAAATACAGATAGTATACTTGACATTTAATGCAGTAAACAGTAGTACAATTCATTCTTACATAATAAGTGAGTCAAGACAAAAAGTTGTTATTGTGTTAGTTTAACTGGGCATAAATTACACTCATTGGCCTTGGTTTTCTAAATTGGCTTGGATAAAATGTTGTTCTGTTTATTCAGAAAAGGAGTATAGTTCAATATACAAGTTCACATTCGTTCCATCCTCTTGTAGAAATGAATCTCATATTATTTTATCTCAAATATAGAACACAAAAATATAATAAAAAACAAGTTTCTATTAATTGCAAAAGTTAGCTTCTATGTCATGACTGAGTTTGGGTTCCGCTTCTAGGGAAAAAATATCCATCTGGAAATATCATATTGACCATTGCTATACACTCCATATTTAATCCTCCCAGTAAATAACATTGATATACAGTATACAAGTATATATGACATCGAGGATCTGGGGTTTGGGTAATGTGAGACATGAGGCCACTTGTCTTTTTGAATCTCATATTCAATATTCTTTCTTTAAACCCTCATATTTAATATTTTTGGAGTGGTAATTCAATTATGTACCCATTTTTTATTCTTTATCCCATAGTTGAACTCTGTTCCGCTCTGTTAGGTAACATGAAAACATATTTATGATATTTTGCAAATGCGAGGAAAAAGTGATATCTGTGGAATACGGAAAATATTTCACAGATATCACCCTCCGGCAGGGATTTGAAAACTACCACCAATATGATGTGTTTTGTTACATAGTGATTTCATGACATCATGGGAATGAATGGATGATGTTTTGATATGCTTTGTTTAGTTTTAGAGGTGAACTATGGGAAAAATAGAACATCCTATGAATTTTCGTGATATTGTGTTAATCCAACTCATTGATATCAATATCTGCGCTAATTCGCTATGCTAAATTGGCAAGGTATTGATATCAACTCGGAGATAAAGACAACATCATTTAAAATCATATGATATCCTATACATATCCTTTACTGTGCCACAACTTTCTCATATGTT